TTGTGGCATTTTAGATGTGGAAAGTTATAGGTGGGAGGAGCTTTATTTCTCGAGGGTGGAGTTATGAAAAAGCTTTCAAAAGCCTAAGCTTTCAGCAGCCTTCCGGAAGCCCTCCTTCTAATCAATTCTGTTTTCTGTGGGTGTGTTTGAAAGTGCTTTTGCCTGAGAAGCGCAGTTTCCCTTAATGGGCCATTGAATCCGAATGCTTAGGCATTGTGCTGGCTTTTAAAAAGAGATAAGGGTAAACTTCGTTAAGAAGTCTACTTTTAGTGATGTATAGAATTACATTTTGAAAGCATATTAAAGTAATGATTGGGAATACTGGCATGTTCAATATATTTTCTTTTACACGTTGATTATGAAAAGATTCTGTCCATCTATTTGGAAATGTGTATGACAAAGCAGTATAGTAGTATCTATTTCAACCCATTACCAGCATTCCATTGTTTTGGTCTTGCACAGTGCTGTTTTTAGGCATTAGCAATGAGTCCTCCTTGGTTCTTGGTGTGCCTGAGTCTAGGGCAATGGTCGGCAAACTGTGTCTCGCGAGCCACATGCGGCTCTTTGGCCCCTTGAGTGTGGCCACGAAGTTTCAATCACACTGTACATGCGCGCCTGCACGTGGTATTTTGTGTAAGAGCCACACTCAAGGGGCCGCAGTTTGCCAACCACTGGTCTAGGGAATGAGTGTTTACTTTCCAGATCTATTTACTCTGGGCTAAGAGTTTACAGGGTCACATTAAGAAAATATATACACTGGGCAGTAGTTATTTGTTGAACATGCTGGCATACTGTTACCTCAGGGCCTTTGCACTTGCTATTCCCTTTGCCTGAGGTATCCTTAGGTCCCAGTTCACTTCAGGCTTTTATTTTGCTCTCACCTTCTCAAATGTACCTCATCTCAGCACACCCATTCTCCTCCACTTATCATTATCTAATTATTTGGTTCATAATCTCCTTGCACTAAATACAAGTGTCATATGGGCTGGGATTTTTGTCTGTTTGGTTCACTACTATATCCCGAAGGCTTATTACTGTGCCTGACACAAACTGCTTTTTATTAGGTGAATGGCAATAATTCACTGAATTGATAAACTTGTCATATGTCATGTTTCCTTGGACACAATTTGTCTGTTTGTGAATAACCCTAACCCTAATATGAGCTGTATCAAGGGACATAGATATTAAGAGTGAACATCTGTGAGTCTGTGGAGGGCCCCCCAGACCTGCTGCGAGAGATGCAGACTGTCATTGTGGTCAGGAATCTCCTCTGAGTTCTGTTGACCAGTTTTACCGTGTCTGCAGGTGGGGCCATTGCCACAGAGTAGACCCAGCACTGCAAGGACCCCCTATTCCAGTGATGGCGAACCTGTGACACGCGTGTCAGGGGTGACACGTGAACTCATTTTTTTGGTTGACTTTTCTTTGTTAAATGGCATTTAAATATATAAAATAAATATCAAAAATATAAGTCTTTGTTTTACTATGGTTGCAAATATCAAAAAATTTGAATATGTGACATGGCACCAGAGTTAAGTTAGGGTTTTTCAAAATGCTGACACGCTGAGCTCAAAAGGTTCACCATCACTGCCCTATTCTCCTCCCCGGACACTTGAAATCAGTCCCCAGACTTTTCTGCCTCGACCCCTGTGCTTGTTCTGTTCACACTGCCAAGGTCGTTTGTGGTGGGAAGCTTGAAAGTGGGTCGGTATTCTCTGGTTCTTGATCCCCAGGTTGAAGAGCCAAATCTTGCACATTCCTTGAACTTACCCATTGGGTGAGTCTACACAACTAATGTCATGGTCTATTCCTACAAGCAGGCAGGAGTCAGTCTGAGTCTGGTTACTGTTATCTCTACCTTGTGCCACCCTCTAATTATAGCTTATCAGTGGTTTTTGGTAGGACATCTGAGACTTTTTGAGGTCGAGCCTACCACTTTTAAGGCTTATTGGCAGGCACCAAAGGTACTTTCTAGCTGTGATGTCCCTTCTGTTTGGTCCAACATTCCCAGCCTACGTGAAATTTCTGGTCATATTTTGGGATTGTGGTGTAATCCCGGGAAGGGCTCCTTAGAATAAAAGTAGGTTACCTTGGTGAGTAACTCATTAACCCAGGGGTACTCATTGGCATGGTCTCTCCATTGGAACTGTTAGTGGTAAAGCAGATATAACCCTGATAGCATGGGCACCAGGATGGTAATTTTGGTGTAGGAGGGTGGTGAGGGGAAGAGAGAGTTGGAGCCTGGAAATTTGCTGCAGATGGCAGACATGAGCGAATGGCAGGAGAAGATGCCATAACTGTGAGGGAACTTGAGGTGTGGGAAGAAGGGAAGTCAGAGGAGAAAGGAGAGAGCATGAAAAGACAGGCATGAGGCACCAAAAAGAACCCTCCTAGTTTTGCACCAGGATCTTCTATAGCCTGGCCTACAAGATGGTATGTACTTTATTTCTCTTCCAATGAAGGACAACTAAATCACAATCTTAGAAGATTCCTGAGTATTGGTCCAAGGTGCTCTGTGTTTATAGTTCTATTTAGCTCATTTCTTTTTCTGAGTAGTAATTGGTTTGTACTTGGAAATGAATTGATACATAAGTCTTCTTATCTGCGCCCCCCCATGTCTTCTTTTATGCAAGTAGAGTGTTGAACACAGAGCTGTGCCTACGAATTAGCGAACCTAGATTAGAGAGCAGATAAGTCAGCTTCAACATAATCTTGGTAGAATAAATGTCTGAAGCCTTGCTGTATTCAGAATGCATATTTAACATCTTCTCCATGCTCATTCATTTTGTAGACTCTGAACTTGTTATGGCATTATAGAGTGGTTGGTGCAGGGCAGCGACAGGGCTCACTGAACTGGGTCACGGGTTCTGGGAACAATCTTGGCCACATCACAGACTCCATTGACCTATACAAAGTGTTGTTAATCTGCCTTACAAGATCTGGGAGGAGAAATGAGGTAATGTCTACTGAGACCTTTGAGCTTCTCGGAAGAACAGTATTCTACAGTAATATGATTTCCTAATGCATTTGTTTGTATTGTAATGGAGTGTAATTCCATTTACCTGAATTTCTTTGGATGTCTTTAGAATATCTGATAGTCTTGCACAGGGGAAGCAGTCCAGCTTTGGGAGTAAGAACTGGGCCTAGAACAGAACCCTCAAAGGCTGCTCAGCCAAACGAGCCAGCTGTAAATCTGCGAGATTAAGGGAAGGAAGTTGGGAGAGGAAAATATGGGAGCTAGAGCTGATGGAGATGGGGGAGAGAGTTGTAATTATCTTCAGAGAGTTTATATCATACTTTTAAATCATGTTGTTTTACTAAAGATGAATACTTCAATATATTTTTAAATGTGATTATTTTAATTGAGCAATATTACATATTGCATGACTCATCTGTAATATTGATCCTGCTGTCATTCTCTATATTGGTAGACTCTGTAACTCAGCTTCCTTCAAGATTTACTTTATTATGTTCCTTGGGCTAACCTGATTGTTTAATAACTTGTTCCAACTCTGACACCAATAGTTCCATACCAATACTAACAGATTTATAGATTCATTTGTAAAATACCTGGTAAATTACTAAAGAACACTTTATCTTTGTTCTGTAGATAAGGGAATAAGTAAGTCTTTTTTATTGCAATAGTGCTGAGCAGGGTAATTTTTTATGCAATCTCTTTGAGCAGTATTACAATTGAGTTAGCTTTCTAGTAAGCCCTAAAACAGAAGTTAAAACAAAAGATGAAAGTGAGGGAAATATACATGTGTGTCATCTCTGTCATTCTATAAAGATGTCAAGTTAGGTTATAATTATCGTTATTGGACAGTTTTGTTGTGACACTTTCCAGAAGTGGTTAGTTCTTTGGCATTTCAAACCTAGCTATTCAAAAGGAGGTCAGCCCTCTATAAAGTAACATTAAGTAACTATGGAGTTAACTAGGAAAGATAAGCATATATCTTCTTTTCCAGAGAGGGGATTTTATACATTTTTTAAACAGCAACTGATTTGTATTTTTAGGGGAATGATACTAATCATATTCCTTTCTCTGGAGACAGGAAGGGAAAGTGCTGCAACTTTTATTTGCTAAATTATAGAGTATAATGCAGAGAGAACATATCCTATCCCCCAAATGTGGCATAAAAAAAGTAAATTCCTACCGAAGTTTGTGTTGCATGCCAGGGATGTGTATGAAAAAGGCACGTTGTCAAATTAAGAAGAACATTTTATATAAGAAAATGATATGAAATACTGTGGAATTGTTCTTTAGACCAAAATACAGTAATCTTTTACTAAAAAATTATGACTCAGAGTTATAGTTCATATGAGCTAGATTGTGAATAATCGTAATAAAACCACATTTTTGGTTGGAGAAGGTAGGACATAACTACTGGTTGACCTGTGAGTCAGACCCAGGCAATCAGAGGCCTCTCATGCCCTCTCCTGCCCCACAATGTATGTTCTGCCCACCGTTCCCACAGTGGGAACCTTTTACAAGGGTGCAGTCTTGAGATAGTAATGTTCTTGTTGAGTCCCTACATGACTGAACCCATGTGGGAGCCTCTATATAAACGTCTAATATTCTGGCAGGAGGGTGCAGAGATCTACTTGTCTTGTGGCCACTCATGACAAGCTTTGTAAGTTCCCTCGCTCATTAAACTGCCACCTACAAGCTGGAGTGGCCTGCCTCTTTCTTTGGTCTCTCTTTGCTCTCTGTGTATGAGGGCCAGTTTCACATTTTATCTGGGGAAGCTCCCAAGGTTGTGAACCAACAATTGTCTGTTCCTGACAATTTACTAAAATTTGAATGAGCACTTCTGAATGTTAGCCATGTTGTGCAATTTTATGTCTTGGTGTCAAACCTTCATGATAAATTTATGATTTTCTGCAATCGTGTATGAGTGTAGCTAAGGCCATACTTTAAAAAAAAAGATGGGAAAATGTCCTGTTTATATTGATCTATTGCATGTTAAATTGTGATGTTCTTTTTGAATTTGTTTCAGAATCGAAGCAAGCGCTTGGAGAAGGTCCATGTGGTTATTGGACATAAGTCGTGTGACTTGGATTCTCTCATTTCTGCCTTCACATATGCTTACTTTCTAGACAAGGTGAGGGGAAAGAAAATTATGCTTTTTAATTTGAATTGTGATGTAAATTTTAAGAACACACATTTTCTGGGAATATAAGAAACCTATTAAAGTTTTCATGTTCTGGTTTATTGTTGCAGAGAATAATGCATTATGATCCATTAATCAATAACTATTTATTGATCACCTACTATATGTTAGGCATTGTTATGGTTATTTCTTACTGAGCCTATTCATACAACATTATTTCAATATGATCAATGTTTTCAAATTGAAAAGAAAAAATGTTTTATAATAGTTGGTTGGTTGTATAAAATTTCAGAGAACTAACAAAAGTAAAAGTCAGGATGCCTTGTTTTCCTTTATCATCCCTTTTGGATAGTCTTTCCCTTGGGAGTAGAAAATATGTGCAGAATAACCTGCATGAACACTACATGAAGGACAGAGCTCATTGGCTGAAACTTTCAGTAACAGAGATATTACATGTTACATCTATATTGTTGTTGCCTTTTAGCCCTGACTATGTACAACAGGACATTCTCAGTTGGTGATAATCTCCCCTGAGTGAAAATCTTTGTACTCTGTAAAGTCTATAATATGCCTCTAAAGGTGAAAAAGGCCTTTCAATAAGTTGTTTTAAATTTTCCATTTCGTAAAATTCATTAGCCTACGGTAATGCATTACCTCAAAGCCGAAAAAGGTACATTTGAGTATTTTGATGCTATTTCCAATTTCACACAATTTTGAATTTTATGGAGTACATTAGCTTTTTATTCCCATTTTATTTGGATCCTTGACTCTTAGGTTATGCATAGCCAATCTAAGTGATTTAATTCACATGAAACCCAGTCTTCCAGAATGAGCTGTGGTGGCAAGAACGGGTTTAGGGCAGCAGCTGACCAAAATGCTGGGTCAGGTACCCTGATCTCTACATACAGTCTTTATAGCAAATTTATCTTTAAAAAATTTTTTTATCTTAAATTTTGTTGAACCTTACAAGGGAGATTAATTGGTATGAGGAGATAAGGGTGCCTGTGACAAGGCAAGCATATTAAACACTGATCTTATTAACTAAATTTTTTGTTCCTAGAAAAAAATGCCTGTCTCAAGAACATAGAATTGACTGAACCCGACTGACTTTTAGACTGATAGTGGCATGGATTCTTAAGGAAATCATATACTAGTTATATCAACAACAATAACTATAATGTTTTGAATGAGATGACATCCAACAAAAGGAGTGGGAAAAGTAGTTGTGATAGATAAAACAAATAGATGAAAAGAAAGAGATATGTGGCCTCTTTTCTCCTTTGTCTATTTAATATTTTTATTAAAAAAATTAATTGTAACAATTAAACATCACAGATAACACCTCAAACTATAGATTTTCAACTTTTCTTGAGTAATCGAAGGACTTATCTATCCTGGGCCTGGATTTTTTGTAGGTAAACAATGGGCTGGAGCTGAGTGACAGGCATCCCATAGAGATGGGACATGCATGGCTTTCTGTGTCACCACAGTCCTCACCTGCCCTATTTCAGTCATCCTAATTTTCTGCTCTTTCCATTAAGAGATGTGAATTTATTTTCCCTGAAGAGCAGAATGCATACAATTTTTTTTTAATTTATGGAGGGGTTGAAGTGAGACAAAATATTTTAAATAAGGCGTGAGAAGTTTCATGTAGAGTGAGAAACATTAGGGGCCTCTTACCCATGGATAAAGCTCTGCTAATGGGGCTCAGGTAAAGTTGGTTATGAATGTCAAATGGCTTAATGAGGCCAAAGGACCTTTGTACCCTTTACTGATGGAACTCAGATCGAGAGAATGTAGATGCATTCCTTCCTTCTGCTGTTGTCAGAATATGAACTTCTTTCTCTGTAGGTCAGCCCCCCCGGGGTTCTCTGTTTGCCGGTGCTGAACATACCCAGGACTGAGTTCAGCTACTTCACTGAGACAAGGTTTATTCTGGAAGAGCTAAACATCTCTGAGACATCCCACATATTCCGAGATGAAATTAATCTGCATCAGCTGAATGATGAAGGAAAGTTATCTATAACACTCATTGGCAGCAACGTGCTGGCGAGGTGAGGCTCTGGAGGTCTGGTCTTTTCAGGAAGGCTCTTCTGGGCAAAGTATCACCTTGTTCACGACTTTTGTGGTTCAGGGAAATGTAAAAGGCAGAGGACATTCAGAGGAAAGGAAATATTTTTTCTTCTTTATGGCAAAATCTGGGCTGCGCCAATTTTCTGTTTTTACTTTTGCATTTCAAATATATGACATCTTTGAGTGGAAAGTTCTTGTAAAATTGACCAAAATTATAATTTTAAACCACTTCAAACACTTGTTGTGGCAAGGCAACTCTTGTGGGTATTGATGCTGAAGATGGGTAATAAAAATAGAAATTAAACACTAAATAAAACTGAAAGGTTCTTAAGAAAAAAATCTCAGTAGTGAAATGGAAATTTATGTAGATGGGCTATGAAAGTCATTTGATCATTGGCTCATCACTCATAGCATTATTATACTCTAAGAGCAGGATAGATTTTTTTTTAAAGTTCATGTAATTTGAACTCTCTATTTCATGGGCAAAAACCTTTTCATCTATTTTTGCAAATGACCTACCCAAGGTACCACATGCAGTTAATAGAGGAGTTTGGATGAAAACTTGGGTTTTCTTCCTCCTTCAGTAAGTACTTAAAAATTGCTAACTAGCACAAGAATCTAAAGGTGCATAAAGAGTAATAAGACAAATTACTCAAGGACCTTACAACCCAACACAAAGATGCCCTTTGATAAGCTCTCTAGTGCTACTGAATGAAAAATCACAGTTAAACATCTGAGTGGTTTTAGATATTAGGATTTTTTTTTGCATACTTTGCCAGTTTGCTAATTATTGATGACATTAACCAGTGGATATTGACTTTAGTATACATAAAATAAAAGCATGTACAATATCTAATTTTTAAACCTTTTTTAGAAAGCATATTTAGTTATGAATATATTGTAATGTTAGGTATGCAGTTATAAACAGTTTTCAGAATAATTTCCTATGGTGTTTGAAACACAAAATTCTTTTTTGACTAATATTTATCAGTCATTGATAATTGGCTGAGAGTTATTGGTAGGTTATTTGACTAACTTCATTTATCGATATTCAGAACGATCACATGCTTTACTAAATTTATGTTAACCTTTCAGACAATAAATGCAAGTAGATATAAAAAAAATAGTTGGAAAAAACCAAAGGACTGAGCTATAAAAAATATGTATCAGTTGAAATCTTCAGAAGAGTTTTGTTACCAATTAAAATTGAAAAATTTTGCTTGTTTTGAGACTGAAGTTGTGAACTCTGGCTTTGAGATAGTGTATGAAATAGATTGCTTTCCAAAAATAGAGCTCTTCATTTCCTTCACTGCTACTCATTTGGCTTTGGCACAAGAGAGAATAAAGTTAGTTTTATCCAGATTTTTCTTCAGAAGTAAATAAGCCCATAGTATTTTTTCTCCAGCACTATGGCTGGATGTGCAAACTTTGGAACCAGATTATCAGAGTCTAAATACAAGCCAGTCTACTTACAGGCTTTCTAACCTTGGACAAATTTCTTAACCTCTTCATACCTGTCTCCCCATTTGTAAAGTGCAAATTTTAATAAAATTCACTTAATAGGGTCATTTTATAGTATAAAATGTGATAATACTTCAAAAGTATTTATAACAGTATCTGACGCATAGTGGGAGCTCAACATATATTAGCAATTATTATTATTATTATTATTATTATCCAGTAGCAAAGTGAGAAAGGAGTGCAAAGGTGTGAAGGCACTCTAAGAATCTTGGGGAATATAATTAGTTAACACGAAATGTGAAAACACATAGAATAAGGTTCTTCTGAGTCATATGCACTTACTTATATTTTTTGGCTACTGAGAGGAAGTTATTTGTGTGGGAGAAGAGATTAAATAATTCCCCAACGTCAGAAAACATGCCATATTTCTTTCTCTTCCTCTCCTCCATTTGCTTTCCAGTGAGGACAAAGCTTTAGAATCGGCTGTTGTCAAAGTCATTAGTCCAGTTGAGCAGAGCGATGCTGGGCTTGGGTTCGGCGAGTCTTCCTCCTCCCTCGTGGTGAAAGAGATTCTCCAGGAGGCTCCCGAGCTCATCACCGAGCAGCTGGCTCATCTCCTCCGAGGTGAGATGACTCTTTCTATTAAATACTGGAAGGCTTAATGGAGTGTCTCTCGACTTGCTCATGCAGAAAGAGTGCGATCCATTCTTGGGTTAACAATCCCTTTAAAGACCCCGGGAAGCTTCATCAGAGAGGCAGGGAGTAAAGAGTTTGTTAAAGAGTAGCATTATATGGAATATTAAAAATGTGCATTTAAAAACAGGCATGACGGAGCTTTGCTGTTTCAAGGCAAGAATATTAAATGGAACTCCTGCACTTCTGCTGGGGAGCTGGGAGTGCTCCTCGGCCCTTTAACAGCTCCCAGAGGTGTTTCTTGCCCCACAGTGTGAATATGGGCCAGACTTCCACGTTCTCACATTGACTATCTCCTAATGCTGATACATGCTTGGTTTATATCATGCTGTTTGGATGGCAAACTGCACCTTCCATTTTGGCAATATTGTGCAAGATGGACTTTTATAGTCAAAGTGTCACCTCTTTCTCCCCCTCTTGTAATGTATTCCATTGTTACTCAGCCTGTGCCAGGCACTCTGGTCTGCAGTCATTAAGAGCTCCCTAATCTCTATTTCATCTCCATGCAGCCCACTGCTTCCAAAAAGTGATTTCCAAGCTGGAAATTGTCAGTTGACTTTGGTGCCACAATTCCATGTTGCCTCACTTAGGACAGTTTGGGGTTTTGTATCATGAGTTTTGGTGCTTGTTTTTCTTTCTTGAACATGGCAGACATAGATTTTTCTCAGAAGTATTTAACCCAAGAAAGTAAAAACGAGTGATGAATAGACTGAAAGAACTTAAAAGGGAAGAAGACTGAGAGAATGTTGACTCAACTCCTATTCTTTTTACAAGTCTAAATTTTTATTATTAGATTCAACAGACAAAGAATAACATTTTAATAATATAATCAGAACAAATAACACATAGGGGGGAAAAGAAAATAAAAACTGCACATTGTTCATTGCAGTATAAACCAGACAACACAGTGAAATAGCTAGTTCTGCATATTAAATGCCTAAACACAGTTTTGAACAAACACCATATGTACCAATATTTAAGCTTTTAATATGTATAATATTGGTACAAATATATACCAATATTTAAGTTATGTAAACATATTAAGTTTCTAATGTGATCATTGAACTTGTTTCTTGCTTGTTAAAGTGTTTAATATAGATTGGATTAATGACAGTGTCACTCATAAGGGATAATGTTTTGTTTTAATAAGATGCATAGTGGAGAAACCAGCTCACAGAGGCATATTAGTGGGAGTGGGACAAGATACTTTAAAGCAATATCAGCACATTCAGGATATTAATTTAATTTTTATGCGGGATTAAGCAAGTGAAGTTATAGTCTAAAGAGTCATCTTAGATCCTTCATAAGTTGATGTAGGTCTTTCAAAGCCTTTTCTTCACTTTCTCTGTCTCTACCACAATTTGGAAGGAAAAGGGTTTAAGAGTCATAAAGTTCCTGTAAATGTTTTAGAATTAATGGCCCCAGTAAACCCATTTAAAATCTTTTTCTGGCTAATGGCATCTGTAAAATGCTCTATGGGAAACTGTGTCCTCAACTAAGCTAAGCAAGCACAATCATTTATCTCCATGACAGAGCAGAAGGAAAATAAAGGTAATCGGGGATCTCAGCCAAGAGGCAAGTTGATTGATATTTTGTTTGCAAACTAAGAAGGTTGGGCTTATTGTTCAAAAAATACATGTATTATTTAGTAGGGAAGAATTGTAGTCAATGAGCAGTTCATCTTCATGGTTTTCTATAGATAGTAAAATTGACAGTCAAAATGTGATACATTGGTATGAAGATGATTTTGTTGTTGATGCTGATGATGCTGATGAGAATATTCAGATTTAGGGAATTAGAAGGAATACAGAACCTTTTGTGAGTGGCCATGGCTTTAGTTAGCCAAGCTACCAAGAATTAAAGCTGCCAAAGGACTTTGGCTTTTCTTATCTTCAGAGGTTTTTCATAGGGTTGGGCTTGAAGTGGGGCTAGGAAGCAGCCAGACTAGTGAAATCACTGCATTGTTACTCGGAAATTGGACTGGGAGAAGTGAAGTGCCTCTACCTGTGAAGACTGCCAATACTGATACTGTCATGGGAGTCAGAGCCGCTGGAGCCCGGGAGGAGAAGACAGGGGTGGCGTATGTGAATGGAAAGTGGGCTCTGGAGACCTTTTGCCAAGATGGGCAGGAGTGCATGTGTGTGCTGTGCATGTGGAGGGGAGAGGAAACATCGCTGCATGGTCTGGCCCAGAGGGAACTAACGGACGGTGATCCAAGGAGTTTGACTACACTGTTCATAAGGCAATGGGCAATTTTTAAAAAGGTACTGAATTTTAAGTAAATATAAGAAATGAATCAAGTCAAATTTTGCATTATTCACTAAACTCAAACCTAGATTTCATACTTTTCCAGTCATGTGCTAACACCAGACCTGAAGGGAGGTGTTTTTTATGTGCCTATAAATAATTCTAGCAATCTTTATTTTCATAACATAAAAAGTTCTCTTTCTGAAGGGTTTCTCTATAAATAGCTACAATATTATCTTGTATTTTGGGGCGATCAAAATGATCATTGATTTGACACACATTTCTAGAACATGTCATTATGCATTCTTCCAGGTCTTGAAGGAATGTACAATTTCTACGCACACCCTTGCCATAAAGAACTTTGAAAAATGTCTACTTCCAGATGTTGTGAGACTAGATAGTCATGGCCGACTTGGAAGAGTCTTTAAAAAGCTTCATAAGTAGAACTCTGTAGAGAGTATATCATTGTAAACTCTGTACCCCCCAAATCTGAATTTACTAAGAACTAAATAATCAGTTTGATTGTTGGTTACCTTTCATTCCCAGGGTCAGATCTGAGAACACACCATGCTGTGGCACACGGTGTGCTCTGAAGGGATTTCAATGGGCCAAGATATTGATCCCCTCAATCCTTGGAGAGTCCCTAAGTCTGCCCCTTAGCCTCTTATGCTGAAAGGAATATGCATTTTCAATGCATTTCTTAATTTCTAAAAGGTTGAGTCTACTCTTCCTTAGTTGTGCTTGTTAGCTCTTCACTGCTCAACTTCTAAGTATTGCTATACCCTGGAACGTTGTCTTGGGCATTTTTGCACTGACCTCATTTAGTTCTGAAACTTTAAATATAGTACTTAGGCTGTGACTCCCTGTATCTTCAACTGTAATCTCTGTTAGATTTCCAGGTTGATACTCATGCCCACGTGACATCTTCGCCTGCATGTCTAATTAGCACTGCCATCTTTCTCATGGCTGTAATGGAAACCTTTAGTTCCCTGTACCTGCAAACCTGCTTTTATCCCAGTTTCCCCAATTCAGTAAAAGGCACTGGCAAAAAGACAATGACTCAGGCCACAATCAGTCCTGCTGACATACATTTAAACATAGCCACAATCACCATTAGTGATCGAATCCAAGCCACCATTCTGTCTAGACTTGGCTAATGCCATAGCCTCCTGACGGTTGCCCCATTTCCTCCATGAAACCTATTGCCTATGACGTAGTCAGAAGGACCTTTGAATAATATAAACCAGGTCCTGTCAACCTCCTGCGTAATACCCATCACACTCAGAACACAAGCGCCCCACCCTTGCAAACTGCAACATGATCGTCCCCTCCTACTCTGACATCCTCTCTTACTATTTCCCCCTTTCCCACTGGGTGCTGCAAGGGCGGGGGCCTTTCGGTCTTCCAAATATGCCCAACTCTTTCCACTTTTGAGGATTTACATAAGCTGTTTCTCCTCTGGAATGCATCTTTCTATCTACTTATCTTCCTTGCTGTCACCAGTCTCCTCCCTCTTGAACCCTCACTCTAGAATGTAAGCTTCAGGAGAAGAGCAATCCGACATGTTTTGTTCACTGATCCACTGTTGTGTTTCTGGTGCCTGGAACAGTGCCTGCCACAAAGCAGACCCTCAATAAATACTGCCATAAGATGAATTTTGCAAGATGGTTTGTATACTTTCTGTGTTTTTTTTATGGCTAAATTGATTTAGTTAGTGCCATGATATTTTAATATCCATTGCATTCCAGCCCATATCTCCAACGTTCTTAATGTCCAGACTTTGGACATTATTCATTCTAACAGTTAATCCTTTTTTTAGCTTTTAGAAAGCCTAGACTTCGTTTTGTAATTTTGCAAACGTTTGTTTTTATTTTCAGCAGTTGGTTGTTATATATATGACACATATATATTGTATATCATTTTAACCTTTTTCATGGAGTATATACATGTACAGAAAAGAATGTACAATATGAATATAAAACATAAATATATGAGTTATTACAAAAGGAACCCCCCTTTACCAATAACTCGGGTAAAGAAATAGAACAAGGTGACCTCTTTGTACACCTTTCCATCACTGTTCACTTCCTCTCTAACTAAAGATAACCAGCATTCTGATTTTCATGGCACATACTTTCTTGTATATCTTTATAGTTTTATCACCTTTGTATGTACCCCATAACACTACAGATTGGTTTCGTCTGTTTTATATATTATGTAGCAAGAATCATATGGTGTACACTCTCATTGTTATTAGACCTCTACATTTATATTACCTGTAGTATCGATTTGCTCAGGTCATTTATCTATCATCTGTCTATTCATTTATTTCATTATTTATTTCCTCCCTTCTTCCATAGAATATTTGAAGTAGTTTATGCAAATATAAAAAAACAAAACCAAAAAAAGTCACGGTCAGGAAACAAAACTGTGTAGAGAAAGGAATAAGGTCAAGATATAGTTAAAAAATGAAGGAGTGAAAATAATATTCAGTTTGAAACTCTGGATATGAGCTTCCTGGAATCAGTGAAAATGTAGAAATTTAATTAATTGCAATATTTATATTATTACTAAAACACACATACCAGGACTTCATCTTTTAAAAAAAGTCTAAATCTTAAATGTTTTTTCTTTGTGTCAGTCTTCTTGGAAAAAACACTTAATAATGTCATAGACATCTTCCA